TGATATCCGTTATTATATATCTATATGATATATGTCATCAGGTAATATGAAAGGACTCTGAAAATTTATATAAGCTATGAGAAAGTGTTCTAGGTGTTTCTATGTGTTATATAAAGCATATATGATCATATGTGAACAAGATATGATATGTATGTTTATATGAATATCTGAGAAATGATCTAAGCTATATGATATGATATATGTGATTATGTGCACTTTGGGATATATGTTATATGATATGGATCTATGTAACTATGTGAGAAAGTATATAAGCTATGTGACATGTAAATGTGACTCATATGAAAATGTTCTATGAGTAATTGAACTATGTGTTATGTGAAATGATAAGTATAAAAGAAAATGCCCATGTTATGTGTCTTGAGAGCTAGGGGTATAGTTGGCATGCCAAGAGTCGAGGGTCTACGTGGTCTTTCGGGACATATATGTATTCTTTGGAACATGTGTGAAGTCTGGTGAGACACATACTTGATCCTTGGCATATGTATATGATTCTTAAGGAATGATATGTGGTCTTTCGGGACATATATGTATTCTTTGGAACATGTGTGAAGTCTGGTGAAACACATACTTGATCCCTAGTACATGTATATGATTCTTAAGGAATGATATGTGGTCCTTATGGACATTATTATATGGCACTACGGTGCAATTCTACATGGCACTACGGTGCAATTCTACACGGCACTCCGGTTCAATTATACGAGCTGTGGTGACAACATAGTACACAACCTCTATAGACTTACATATCTATAGTTCTCACATGTGTACATGGGCTTTGAAAAGAGAACATAATTTGATATAATGATATGTGTATTTCTCGTGACATGGTAGAAGTGCATATATGTCATGGTGATATGAGATGCTATGTGTTTATATATTATATGATTATAGAAATTAGTAATGTATTGTGGTTTATTAAAATATATATAATATATTTATATTCATTATATGCTCATATGACAGAATTGAAGTAATGACAAGGGAATTAGTAAGGATAAACAGGTTGGTGATATGAGAACAATGTATGTGATATATGTATATGATGTGTGATATGATGTGTGCATGATATGATATATGTGTAATAGGGGTTATGGTATCTGTTACGTAATATACATGAATATATGTTGATGTATATGTAAATGAGTTGTATAATTTGATAGCATAAACAGTCATGCATGATTAGTGGGTATAAATTCCATTAGATGTATTTTCTTTATGCCTCACTAAGTCATCGACTTAGCGTGTGAGTATTTCACAGGCAGGTTACAGAAAGTGAATATGGAAGCTGTGAGGAGCAATACATATCAGTATCTCCCTTACAAGATTTCAGATCAGAAAATAGATGAGTTAAATGATTTTTGTTATTTTGAATATAGTTGGCATGTACTAATTGATTGAGTTAAATATGCTCTGATCGATTTTGGTTATTGTGGTCAAATTATGTAACTAAATTGCTTTTACTCTAAGGAAAGTTTTAAATTTTCTTTGAATTTTGTCAAGAGTCAAAGTTTGAAAAGTCAATGTGACACCTCGGACTCGTATCCGGGCCGGGTACGGGTTGGGGGTGTTACATCATCCATCATATAACTTATTTCACTTCCCATGCAATCATATAGATCATTCATATTAGATCCTATAACTGATCACACTACATGTATTCACACAAATCATTTAACACCTACTGTAATTTATATCATATATACTCAAATCAAACATATACATATGATCATAAATTCATACATTCTAATATAGGAAATAGACTCGTCGCAAGTCTTATTTCCATTAAACATCATAAACTAACTTGTATGCACTCACCTGGACCTCGTTTGCTTTGAATCAATCCTAATCCTTAGTTTGTTCCGGAACAAGCTTTCATTCTATATCTACATAATAATACATTTATACTTATCAGTATACTAATTGATATATTCGAAACTATCACTCCTTAGGCTAAGAGAAAAGCCAATTTTATCTTTTAATGAAGGTATGCATCGATGTACTACTTGTGCATCGGTGCATAAAATACATTTGATGTTTGTATTTTAAGGGGGTGCATCGATGCACTACTTATGCATCGATGCACTACTTGCATTCGATGTTTGTTTATTTGAGAGTGCATCGATGCACATTGAATATGCATCGATGCACACAACCCAGAAATTCCATTTTAAGCACAAAATTATTCAACTCTTCTTCAATTCTTCTATTTTAAGCCCATATCATGTCCTTAAACTCAACTACCATTACTTAAACCAACTTATATCCATATAAACCATATTTATCTTCCATATCTCATCATGATTCTTAAAATTAATAATCTTACTAAATTTTCAACTTTGTTATAAATCCTTTCTAACTTCATAAATCTCTTATTTTTATTGATAACAAGTCAAATTCCTTCTCAAAGTTCACTTATTAACTCTTTTCCAACATTTCCTTTAAAAACTCATTTTCTTTAATCTTTCATAACTTCTTCATCTTTTGATTTTAGGACAACCTAAGCTTTCCATAAGCTTAAATATTACCTAAGGATCAAAACCCACTCTTAAAATTAACAAATAATCACCTACAAGGAATCTTACCTTTGCCTTGGAGCTTCACGGGAGGAAGAAGAAGATGAAGAAGAAAAAGAGAGAAGATATTTCTGGAAAAATCTCTCATCCTTATCCATATATATATATATCATTATTTTATTCATCTCTTGGTCAAATGACTATTTTGCCCTTTAATACCTTTTATAATTACTAGCATCTTCAAGGTAATATTTTCAAATAAATCACTGAACTTTTCAACTATTCCACTTTAATCTCCAAATTCTGAAATATTACAATTTGGTCACTAACCCGATATTAAGGATGTTACAGGTAGCATAGCTGAGGATGAACCAGAAATACCTGCTCTTCGTCCAGTAGTGAGGGGATGATGATGTAGTAACGTAGGTCTTTTTTGTCAGCGACAATGAATTATCACCCCTCGTGCTTTCGCTGAAGGTAATAATGGCTTCCCGTTTACGTTGAACAATTCAATATAGCCATCTAAAACCATCGAACCATTTTCTATTATATATTGTCGATGAGGCAAGCGTTGATGTCGGTTCTCCCACATCGCCAACCGCTCTCTATGCTTCACCAACCAATTCACCTCTTTTTTGCCTCGTCTATCTATGTTATGCATATTGTCGAGGTTCCTTGGTGCTTTTGGAATAAATTGTGTAAACCCAAACTGATGAAGCACACGATCAGTCGAATGTCACTCAATAATAATATAACAAATAAAGGGCACAACCGCCACCCATACATCAAATGTCCCACTCAAGTTAGGTGGGATACAAACCCTCAATTCGCTCGTCCAAATATGACAACCATTTGAACTAAAACAAGAATATATATTTATTATCAAAATTAAAATGAGATTCAAATGATATAAATACAATTAAAAAACATACATCTACACCAGATTTTTGGTCAATGAATAATTGGATATCTTGTAATTTTTGTGAGATATCACGATGATTTTTCCTATTACTTGACCACCTATTTAATATATATATATATATACCATTCTATAATAATCGAAAATAATATTTAAAAATAAATTTACAATTGATACCTTGAAAGTAACGGAAATACATGACTCATTCAAGATAGGACACAAAAAGGCATGTGGTATCATGCCCACGATTGGAGAAGCATGAGACAACCGCCAATAGCAATCTTCTTATAATTCGTAGCCCGACATATTTCTCTAAACAAAAAGGCCAACACTGCAGGACCCCAACTCAATGTGTCGGCTACTTCAAAATCGATCAAGTGCCTTAACCACATACAATGGACCTGGTTCCGAGATTTTTCAGGCATCAATATACCTTCAATGAGTTGTAGTATATATGCCCAGAAAAATTCTTTTGTCTCTTCCTCCGAACAATTTTTGCGCAACTCTTTAAATTCACTTTTCAGTCACCCTAATGTTATTAGGCTACCGTTGAAACTGAGCGAGTAACTTCCAAGATACTCCTTGCATAAACCCCCAATCATCATCTGCCACACCACAAATGACAGTTCCATCGACCGGGAGACCCAGTTGCATTGAAACATCCTCTAGCGTAATGGTTTTCTCCCTACATGGTAGATGGAACGTGTGTGTATTTGGTCTCCATATCTCAATTAGTACAGAAATCAGGGCGGATTCAAGTTTGCAACCTCATTCAATTTTTGCTAGGTAACTGAATCCAGCCATCGACAAATATGATCAGATACGCTTCGGTGTTTCCATCTTCTTATCCCGAATAAAAACTTTTAATATACGATCATTTTTCTAACAAATAAATTCTAACCATTAAAATTTGAACTACTATTTCAAAATTATTTAAATAAATTCAAATAAAAAAATTGTAATAATTTAAATAATATATAATCGATTTCATAATATTCATAAATTTAAAAAGAATAGAGTTTTGTATATTTACCTTATCGACAAAATGACTCGAAATATGATCTGCATCCAATCGCAACAGCACACCTTCCATTTTTAAATGCAATTAATAAATATTAACTAACTAAATAAGTTTACAATTAAAAAAACAAATAAAAAACAAATACTAATATAAAATAATAATAATAAAATAATTAATTACTTAAATAATAAAAAAAATTAATGAATAAAAAACAAATTATAAAAAAATAATTATATCGTACTAGATTGAAAATAGATAGAAAAGATAAATATTTAGGTGTGATTTATTTAAGTTGGGGGAATGAGTTTTATATATGCAACCGATTAGGGAAATAGGTAGGAGAATTTGGAGGGAGTTTAGGATGGGAAGAGAATGGGATGTGCCTTTTATGGGTATCATCGATGTCGCTTCTATCTCCTTCTCTCTGATGTTATATTAGGTAATATTTAAGAAATAATGACTTACATGTAATATTTTATTTATAAGATGATATTTTAGTAAAATAACGTAGAATAGTAATTAGATAAGAATTTAAAGAGTGTTCTCAAAATTCGAGAAGAAGAAAAAGGGAAGAGAGGGAATCACATGGGCTTTTAGTTTGCTGTCTCTCACTACTCTCTATTTTGTTCTTTTAGTTCTTCTTGTTCTTCATTTTTGCTTTTTAAACAAAATAATTAATTGTTTTTTCTTCTATTTTCGCACTATGATCTACCATTACGCTTTCTGTCGTTAGATCTTTATTTTTTCCTTTTATTTTTCAACGGCATGGCTGACGATAAGGTAAATTTCGTTTCGTTTCTTTTTTTCTTTTTCTTTTTGATTTTTTCTGTCATCGGAGCCTTGAGTTTATTATTCTATTTATTGTTTTTGTTTAATCGTGTTGAATAATTTGATCATGTTTTGTGATTGTATGAAATTTGCGGATTTAAGCTATTTTTATGTATTTTTTATTTTATGTTTTTGGCGATCTTGTTGGTTGAGCTGATCGGGGAACCCTAGGTGATGAAATTTTGCTTTGCATTTGATTTGATCTATTTATTTCTCTCTGGATTTTGCAGCTTTGAGCTCATTTTTTGTTTGATCTCAAGATTTTTTTTCTTCCTTTTAGAACGTGCTCGTCTCGTTTCTTACTCATTGAATTTCTTAATTTATCAGGAAATGTCGTCCCCTGTTGTAGACGGCAACGATCCGATCACTGGTCACATAATTTCCACAAAGATTGGTGGCAAAAATGGAGAACCTAAACAGGTATGCTGCTTCTTGGGTCTAGCTGCTTAAATTCTGCTTTAGTTATTAATTAATTTGCTGTTATGATCGACAATAAGAGTGGTAACCAGTTTTTTACTTGGGATTTCATGTTTTTGGTGTTTTGTTATTGTAGACTATCAGTTATATGGCCGAGCGTGTTGTGGGGACAGGTTCGTTTGGGATTGTTTTCCAGGTACTCAGACATGGCCAGATTGTAGTCAAGGTGACATTATTTTATGTTTGGACGTTGATGCAATCTTCTCTTTCAGGCAAAATGTTTGGAAACGGGAGAGACTGTGGCTATAAAGAAGGTTTTGCAAGACAGAAGATATAAGAACCGAGAACTGCAATTGATGCGTGTGCTGGATCACCCAAATGTCATTTCCTTGAAGCATTGTTTCTTCTCCACAACAAATAATAATGAGCTTTTCCTTAACTTGGTTATGGAATATGTACCGGAGAGCATGTGTGGAGTTTTGAAAAATTACAGCAGTTCAAATCAAAGAATGCCACTTATCTATGTGAAACTTTACACGTATCAGGTCTGTATGGTACCCTTTACATACTTTATTTTATGTGTAATGTTCTGTATGCTAATTGGATTAGGTTTTACAGATATTCAGGGGGCTCGCATACCTACATAGTGTTGTTGGAGTTTGCCATAGGGATTTGAAGCCGCAAAATCTTTTGGTATGCATTTCTTACTGATGATGACATTTTGTAGAAATTATTGACAATGTTTCTTAGACGATTGTTGTGTTTGTGCAGGTTGATCCTCTAACTCACCAAGCTAAGATTTGTGATTTTGGAAGCGCAAAAGTGCTTGTAAGTTGATTCCCTTGTATTAATCTTCCAAGTACTTCCTTTCAGACTTCTTACCGACATTTTAGTCAATAAATTATTATTTATCCAAGTGAAACATCATTATTGAGTCCATAAATTTCTGAAACTAAAATAAGATTTTAGCTCTTTGTTATTTGAATGTTTGGTTTTGATTGTAACTTCTAAAAGGATTGATATAGAATCTGTTAACTTCTGCTATTTATCAGGGGGGCAAAATCGTACTGTTGCACACCTTTGCAAAATCAGCTTTGTGATAACGTGATTACAAAATTTAATGGCCCTTTACTGTTGCTTGTGCAAACTGCTGAAGCTTGTTTAACCTTTGTCCCTCCTTTCATATTAACATCTTTAAGACCATCAACTGCTGAAGCTTGTTTAACCTTTGTCCCTCCTTTCATATTAACATCTTTAAGACCATCTTGTCTTTTTCTATGTAAAAATTTCATATTTACTATTGTTTTGTGTGTGATCAGGTCAAAGGTGAAGCTAACATTTCATACATATGTTCACGGTTCTATCGGGCTCCAGAACTTATCTTTGGTGCCACTGAATACACAACCTCAATTGATATCTGGTCAGCTGGTTGTATTCTTGCTGAACTTCTGCTGGGCCAGGTTTGGTTTTGCATTTTTGTTTTTCCTGATTTTTATTTTTCAGTAATTTTTCTTCTCTCTGCTCGTTGATATCTGATTTCATTTTGCTTGTGTAGCCATTGTTTCCTGGGGAGAATGCTGTGGACCAGCTTGTAGAGATTATCAAGGTATGATTTGCTTAAGATGCTTGGAGTTATACCATTACTCTGTACTATCAGGAGTTCTTACATCTTTTCCTACAGGTCCTAGGTACACCCACTAGGGAAGAAATTCGCTGCATGAATCCCAATTACACGGATTTTAGGTTCCCACAGATTAAAGCGCATCCATGGCATAAGGTTTCCCTCTTTTTCTAGGGGCTGAAATAATTGATTGATTTTGAATCCCAATTACACAGATTTTAGGTTTGCAATATGTGATGGTTGATTACCTTGTATGTTTTTAGGTTTTCCATAAAAGGATGCCTCCCGAGGCAATTGATCTTGCTTCACGACTTCTGCAATACTCGCCAAGTCTTCGCTGTACAGCTGTGAGTTGCTAGTGTCTTCATCTTTTGTTTGATGATCTTGGAATGTGCAATATTCTTCAATTATCGATTTGGCTTCCCAAAATATTTATGTTTTAGTGATAATCGGCTCAATCTCATGTGCTATAACAGCTGGAAGCATGTGCACATCCCTTCTTTGATGAGCTTCGAGAACTGAATGCTCGACTGCCAAATGGGCGACCTTTACCGCCACTTTTCAACTTTAAACATGAAGTATGTTTCTTAATTAAACTTCATTTCTGCATGCCGTTCCATATACAAAGATACATCTTCATTGAATGGCATTATTTCTAGCTAGAAGTTTGTTTCTTGTTATAGTCTATACTTTGTTATTCATTTTGATTCTTCTGGTTACAGATATCTGGGGCTTCGACGGAGCTTATTAATAAGTTGATTCCGGATCATGTGAAACGACAAGTAGGGCTACAACATTTCATGCATCCAGCTGGGACATAAAACATTTAAATGTGGTTTCGGATTCGACATATCTAGTTGATGCTTGACACGAAAAAACTACTATCTTTGGTTGATATCACTGGTTGATTTGAGGCCTATCCAGCATCACTTTGTGTTCTTCCACGACACATATAGTCTCTGGCAGTGTGGTGGCTGCCTTCTTTTGATCCTTTTACGTTAATCACGCCTCTCGCTCCTGTATTCTACGAGTTTACATTATAGTTATGTACATGTAACATGGTAGATACTAAAAAGATCAGAGCAAGATGGATGGACCTGGAAAGCTAAGAGTGGGGGAAAGTTGAGAAGTGAAAAATGTCCTGAAGATAAGGGATGGTGGGATTTTCTGTTTGGTTACTTTCATTTGTTCTTTGTTTTTAAGTTATTCCGGTTGCTGACTTCAAGTTGCAGACAATTATTGTTACTGTTTGTTCCAAGTTATGTTATATTACTCTCTTTCTACCTGCTTTTGTGTAATCTTGATAACCACATTTAAGGCTCATTTTGTTTCAATAGTCAGTGATCTTGAGGACATCGTCGATGCAGCCCCAGTCCTACATTTTTTTTGTCAAGAAAAGACATGGGCAAGGTGGAACACCAAAATTGGTCAGGTACGATAGTAGATTCTTTTTGAGTCGAGTTTATCGGGATATGATGTCGCTAGGGATGGAGTCATGTAAAGAGTGAATTTTCCTATTTTTTTGGTCTAATGACATTTTAAGTCCTTATCGGTTTAAGCTTGAATCAAGTTAGGTCTTGTCTCTAATTTTCGAGATTAAATACTTAACGAATCTATTATTGAGTTTAGATAATGGGCCCTCCTAATATTTGATTCTAGTTTTGCCCCTGACCATCAGCAATTATTGGTCGGGACTTTGTTGGATGGGGAACATAGAAAGTGGCATGGGAAGATGTAATGATACGAGGGTCGCATGTTTGATTGTTTTTGTCAAAAGAAGATGCCTTTAGCTAATAGCCTTTAAGGGTCCCATGCTGTTAATAATTACGTTTGCCTTTCGGTCGTTAAAGGATGGTCGGTGCTTCAATGTTTCTTATAAGCATAGAGTAATATTTTTGGATCGGTCATCAGTTGTTTTAACGGAACGAGGTGTTAAAATCTTTTAACTAAAGATTGGATATTTGAATTCGAGGATTGTGAATGAAAGAATAGAAGGGTCGTTCTTATTATGTACTTTTAAAGGATTTGATATATTAAAGGATGAATTAGTTGGATATTGGTGCTATAAAAATATTAAGTAATATTTTTCTTGTTTTTATTAATTTTGGGTAAGAATAAAGTAATATATGTTCAAAGATAGTTCTCAACTTTTCGATATTGTATGCTCATACTTTTATATTTATGGTGTTCGAATTCAAGTCCTCAAGAATAACAATTATTTTATTATGGGGACCATTCGGTTCGTGCAAAGTAATATTTTCTTGATTATATATATTACAAAAGGGATTAGTTAGTAGAATACAGAAATAAAATTTAATATACAATCATTGTATATAAATGGATGAACTTACAATTGCATAATTCATATACGGCGGTGTTTAATGTAGAACAAATGTTTACAGAAAATTCAATATACCCGAAGCAAAATTAGAAAAAGATTGTATAGTACTAGGGTAACAGACAAAATGTTCAAGAAGTTTATGTGATCGAGAGTTTTTGGAATTCGATCAATCAGAGGCTAATGGGAAAAAGGAAAAATTAAAAAGCGGCCATTTTGTTTAGACTTTAAATGGAGCATCACACACTATATGGATGAGTTTTGTTCTTTGAGCCCAGTCCAACGTTCTCCGCTTCTTGAGTAGTGAGCTTGGCGGCGGCGGCGTGAATGCCTTTACTTTGGTGAGTTAAGATTTGGGCCCTGAGCAGATTTAGACGAAAATAGATGCTTTTAATAATTATATTGTATTAAATTAGCATTACGACAAGATAAAGAAAATTAAAGAGAAAATAACCTCAGTAATAAAAAATGTTTTATAATGTACGATTTTAATCAATTTTTTTTGAATTTGTCAAAATGACCAACTAAATCGCAATGCGATCGATAATTCGCAACGCGATCTCCGGTATCGCAAATCAGTTTCCAAATTCGCAACGCGAACTTCGACTATCGCATTGCGATTTACATATTCACATTGTGATAGTCCAAGTTCGCGTTGCGATAGTCGAAGTTCGCGTTGCGATTCGCATTGCGATAGTCCAAGTTCACGTTGCGATAGTCGAAGTTCGCGTTGCGATTTATTCCAAATTTGTTGCGATAGTCCAAGTTCGCGTTGCGATTTATTACAAATTCGTTGCGATAGTCCAAGTTCGCGTTGCGATTTATTCTAAATTCGTTGCGATAGTCCAAAATCGCAACGACTGGTGGTATTGCATTTGTTTCTTAAGAATTTTCTCTAAAAAGATAGTATTCGCGCGGATGTGTCGAAGACACGTATTACCACGACCACGAGACGAGACGAGACGAGACGGACTGCGGCGGCGCGCGAGAATCTCCCTTGTTCTCTATCACTCAACAAGGAAGTGGGAAAGTCAAGCCTTAAATACCATTCCCAATAGTGTTTTCAATACTATATGAGATTTAGCATTACCAACACTTGTTTCCAATACTATGTGAGATTGAGCCTTAAATAGTGATATTATTTGTGAATTATAGTTAATGACTTTAGTATTTGTATGAAACTGATTTGCGATAGTCGAAGTTCGCGTTGCGATAGTCGATGTTCGCGTTGCGAATCTGGAAACTGATTTGCGATACCGGAAATCGTGTTACGAATTATCGATCGAATTGCGATTTAGTTGGTCATTTTGACAAATCCAAAAAATATTGATTAAAATCGTATATTATAAGACATTTTTGACCACTGAGGTTATTTTCTCAAAATTAAATTGGTCAAAGAAATCCTCTTAGTATTTATTTTATGACAGGATAGAAACGGTTAGTTTTATTTTTTAAAATTAAATTATAATAAATTAAATAAATAATAAAAATATTTTTCTATAATTATTAACACAAGAAACTAACTACTTAAGATTATATAAAGACCATAAAATGGCAGTCGACTGGCGTCGTCCTTGAAACAAATTGGGAGTCCCCCCTCCCGCCCCCAATTCTTGCTGAACTGTTGGCGGATTAAAATGGTTTTATGAGAAGTTCTTAAACGTTGATAAGAGATTAGTGATTGAAAGTGATTGTGCTTCAGTAGTTGATGGATCTTACACCCAGTCAAGTGCTGCTCTTTATATGAAGCTTTAGTTAGGCAAATTGCGGTGTTCATCACGGATTATAGTATTGTAATTCGGCATATTCCTAGAGAGTGTAATATAAAGGCCGATTCTCTTACTAAGAGAGGGATGGATTAACAGTACTGCTATGCATGTGGTGATTTCGGTGGGATAAATTTCTACTGTGTGTAATGCGTATAGCAGTGGGTATGCTGATGTACTTCTTGTTGTTTGTGCATGCTTATCTGAATAAAATGTTCTGGGCACTCTTTTCTTCCGCTGCAGTTGGTGGTCAGTTACGACCATGGCATGAACGAGGATAAATTTCTATAAAAAAATAAAAGGTTAAAAAATTTAACTAAATAAACTCGAATGAAAAATAGATATGAATACATCTAGTGGCATAAGTAAATAAACCATAACAGAAGATCAAGATATTAAAATATTACTTAAAAATATTAAATCGAAATCAAATAGTGTGAGAAAATTATTCACAAATACAAATCGTATATTTAAATCTAATTTAAGAGTTCAAAATATAAAATATCAACATAATAACAAATAAATGTCATATAGAAAACATGCCAAAAATCACAAAAAAAAAACATGTTATAAAGATTAAAAAAATATATCAAAAATAAAATTATTAAAAAATTAAAAATACAATATAATAAAAAAATAATGAATATTAACGATTAAAAATCCATATTAAATCTAATGTCATTGTGAATTACAAAGATAAAGGAGAAGGATGTTAAAATAGTTTGAAGTCATTATTAGGAAATGGAGACGGTTTTCCTCTCGGTGCATGCCAGTTGGTCTACTTCTCGATGGGGTTTTCCTGGTACTTCTCCTCAATTTCTTGATCTTTGTTGATTAATTTTTTTTGATTTCTTTGTTTTCCTTTTGTTTCTTGGTCTATTCTAGGTTGATTGGCTTTCTTGTTTGGATGGATTGAAGGATTCTTTTTGCGCGAAAACAAGAGCAGTCTCTTGATTTCTTCCCTCCGGTGGTTGTAGATGGTTATGTTACTGTTCAACCACCGGCTAATGTGATTTCTGAAGGGATTGATGTTTGGAATCATTCTTTGGTGGCTCAATTTCTTGAAAATCGGGGCAGTTGAAGTGAAAATGCTAGAGGATGTTGTCTTTATTTTTCAATTCGCGAATGCTTCGGGGTGTGATTGAGTTCTTGAAAATGGGCCTTGACATGTGCAAAATCTCCCGATGGTGCTGCGTCGATAAACACCTAACCTGAAGAAGCTTGATTTCTCGTTTGATCGCCTTTTTGTGTGGGTTCTTTTGTCGAATATGCTTCTTAAGCTCTTTACTCAGAGGGGTTTGAGGTATATTGCTAGCGCCTTGGGGCAATCCTCTTTATATGGATATCATAACGGCTTCGAGGACGCGTCTTTCTTTTGTTAAGGTATGTGTCGAGGTTTTGCTTTCTGTTACTTTTTCTAAATCTGTAGAGGTTGTTCTTCAAAATAGATTAAGGGTTTATGTTAGAGTTGATATTCCTTGGTTGGAGTTGATGCTCCTTGGTTGTCATCTCGGTGTATTGGATGTAACACGTTCTCTCATTCTGAGAGATTTTGTCCCAAAAAGGGGTCAGGAAGCACAATGACTAGAGATATAGGTCCCAAATCTTTAAAGTCGAGGGGGGGTCGAAGGTGGGGGGTTTGGAAGTCGGGATAATTTAATTTAATTATTTAATAACTATTATTTCTATTTCTATTTTTTTTTAAAATAGATACCAAATGTTTAAGAAATTGACGTTTTTCCCGAAATATCACCGGTGACCAGTAGATTTATTGATCTAACACCGATCAGATTATATTTCCCGATCTAACACTCGTAGCAGTAAAGCGCGCGCCGTGACGCTATACGTTGATTTGGCACCACGTGGGGTATAGCGTGCCCCCTGAACCGCGCTATATCTGTGTATCTAGACAATTATATTTAGCGCAGACCCTGATCTGCCCTATACCATAATACCGCGGTACAGGTATCACGCCTTGTATGGCTATATATACCCTTCTCCTTCGGTTATATTCCTCACATATCTCCTCCCAACTTATAAATTAATTCAACAATTTCGTCAACGAGTCAATAATTTTGACAATATTCTCATATTTAGTTTAGAAGTTCGTGCGATTTTTCGTTATAAGGTAATTTTGTTACAATTTTTTTTATTATACTTATTATTTATTATGATTATTT